CAGCATGCCAAGCTCACGCTTGCCGACAAGAAGCGGCAGAAGGAGCTTCGCCGCGAGAAGCTCAAGCTCGCCTTCAACAACAAGAGCACGCCGGCCGTCGCGCCATCGAGCACTATCTCAGCCCAAGCCTCGCGGGACGCATCCGCTTTCTTGTCCAGTCTCTTGTAAGCCTCTAAACTAATTTGCACCTGCGACGACTTCTCATGCTCAATCTCGACACAGATCGTCGATCATTGTCATCCTATTCCATGTCAACCTCATGGTCCAGGAGGAGCTAGCCTTCTCGCCGAGCGATTATTATGCGATGCTGCATTGGGGCTTGCCGCTTGTGCGTAGTACTAGGCTTCGAGCGCAACTCCATTTGTAGACTAGGCGCCTAATGTTGTTGTTGTCACCTCAGTCTTCGTCCAAAGGGTTTGAGATTTGAGTGAAACAATTAGAGAAGGTGAAGCGAAGCTAGTTGCACTAGAACGGAGGCGGGTTGCGGTCGTGACGGCCCCGAAGCTCGACCCACGCGCGTCGTAGGATCGGGTTCAAATCAAGGACCAACTCGGCGGGAAAGCGCCCGGGAAGGGCCGTGTCGTCTGGCAGCGCCAAGAGCCGTCGACTATCCATTCGCACGCGCGTAGCGGCTGTGATCGGAATCGGGTTGACGAGGTCAGGGGCTGGCCCTTCAAGCTGGTTGTTGGTGATCGAGAAAAGCTTGTACTGGCGTACGCTCATGTCGGGCGGGACGAAGACGCAGAGGACATAGCGAATGCCCGGAAAGGCGCAGTATCGCAGCATCTTAGCGTTCATACTTCGCCAGCCTTGATTGATGCCGACCTCGACCTTGAGCGTATGGAACTCGGGCCAGTGGAGGTCGAGGGGCCAGTCGGGAAAGATGGCGTCGGTCTCCATCGCGGGACCGTAGCTGAGGTCAGGCACGAGCTTCGGTAGCTTCCTTGCCGCTGGCTCGTTGGTCGTGTCGACGTACACGTCGCGGTGCGATTCGAGAACTCGATGCTCCGTCCCCGTGACCTCCGGCCTCGTGGCCTCCTTGATCGCGTCGTCGATGCCATCCGCAATGCTGCCGTGAAGTCCACCGCTCATCTCGATGAGGAATATCGAGTTGTCTCGAAACTCAAAGTGGCGCGATTTCATCTCTTCCTCTTCCGACTCGACGTAGCGATCCCAGTCGGCCTCGGTCGCAGAGCAAACTCGGAAGCCGTCGTTGTCGATGACGTCGAGGGTGGCCTGCGCGGCATCCCAGTCCAGAGCCTCAATCGCTCGGTTGATGGCACCCACTGGGTCGACTGAATCACGTGCGATCGTCTCGGGGTTCGTTGTCGCCGCAGTTGGAGGCATGACCATCTTGAGACCGATTCCACTCTGGCAACGTTGCTATCCGGATACAATCTCACTGCGATGTCTCGTGCAAGAGCGAGCGGTGGACGTTCTCTTTCTTGCTGCCTTGATGCGCAACGACAAGTGGTTTTCTCGCGTTCTCTCCAACCCCTACAGTAGCGCTCTAGTGGTAGCCACGACCCAGCGCTGTGCGAGATGGTGCACGATTGAACCGCCTTTCGAAAGCTCTCGCCAACGTTTCGGCTCGCACGATCGCCGGTAGCACATTCTTGGGCTCCACCTCCGCGTTCCGGCGTTCTAGTACGTTGAGTACACGGCCTC